GCAGTGCCCGCGTCGCACGCCCAGCGCACATGGCGCACGGATTGCGTGCAGGGTTCGTAGCCAAGCAAAAGCAAAAACAAACAGAAACACACCCGAAAGGAAAACACACCGCGATGCGGCTCCCTCCTTCCACTGAAACAAATAAAAAAAAGGTTAGGCCCACTGCGCACACCGCTCAAATACGGGGCGGATCTACCTCGGGGCCGCAAAAACAAACAATTCACTCATTAAGGCGTTTGACGATGGCCGGGATCGTTGGGTCCCACGCAGCGGCAGTCGCCACGCCCCGCAACCACCGGAGGCCTCGCGTGGAAGACGTCTGCGGCGGGGCTGCGGCGGGAGGAAAAAACCGGACTCCACTCGCCACCCCAACGCGCCACCGCAGAAAACAAACCAAAAAACACACGCACAAAGAAATCGCCCCACCATTCATTCAGCCTCGTCGAGGGGCGTTTCCCTCCGCACAACTCTACAAAAAACTAATAAATAAAAAGGGGGAAGCGCAAGACAAGCCCGCTCGCAGAACAATTTATTTACAAGGCGGGAGGCACGGGGACCGTCCCACCGAAGCCCGCACCGCCGCCGCTTGCGCCCCACAAACGAAGAAGCTGCCACCCGCGCCAAACAACGTGGACACCGACCAACCGAGTCCTCCTCCCCGGCACGCCTCCTCCGTCGTGGACGGCGACGCTCAAAAACAAAACAACACACTGAAAACAAAACGCTGAAAATAAAACAAAACGGCCAGCAGTGAACGTAAACAAATGGCACACGCGAGAGGCAGTCCGATGTCATTGTGCTCCGCCCACGTCACGGCGGCGACCCTCGCACCTTCCTCACTGCGCCCCCAATTCGCACCATCGCCGGGATGCTCACTGATACACGGAAAGCACAACAGAAGGGCATCGTGGACGGTAAACACAGCGGCGGCGCAGGCAATGACGCCAGTCCACCGGACTCCGCTCTTGCAGCAACTCCACCCGCTTCCGCCTCGCACCGTCTGCCGCGTGGAGAGCCGACCCGGGGACCGCGCAGTCACCCAACAGAGAAACAAAAACTAAGCCAAATCCTCAACACACATTGCGCACCCGCACCAGCTCTCACAACACCCACATTCATTTGTCGCATCCCACTGATTGCGTCAGGACTGATGGCCGCACACACAAAAAAAAGCATGATATTTTTACGAACTAAACTTCATCCAACCCAGCGTAAACACACATCTACTACTCGGCACCGCAGCATTGCTGCACAAGCCACGCGCCGCCTGCATCTCTACCCCAATGAAAACCCACAATGCGCGTGCCTATCGTGACTCCATTGTCTCCAGATCATCCCCATTCACCACGCTTCCGGAGGTCACACCGCGCCGCACCCTCCTCGTGTTCCTATGAAAGGCACCATCTGCGTCTTCAGCAATCTCCTCGCCCCTTGGAAACTCCGCACTTGCAAAAGCACCCGATGCAACGCTTTCGCAACTATGGCTTCTCGACAGCATCAACGACTGGGAAGCGTCTGCTGCGGGTGGTAGGCGCAGCGGAAACTT